GGGGGGGGGGGGGGGGGGGGGGGGGGGGGGGGGGGGGGGGGGGGGGGGGGGGGGGGGGGGGGGGGGGGGGGTCCCCATGTTATGCATTTCTTAGTTAAGCCATTGACCAAGCGTCCTGAAGAGAATGGAGCATTGTTCCTACAGGAAGCGAGGAGAGGGGGTGTTTGCGGGTGCGGGGAAGAGACGGGGGTCAAATCGGGGTTTGTCGTACAAGGGGGTACGACAGTTACTCCGGAACAAAAGTACCCTTGTCGATTGTACACATCATCGTTGCTGTGGTTGACAGTTGACTTGAAATCAAAATACCTGTTGATTACACATCATCACTGCTGCCGTAAACTGCGGGACACGATTCTCCCAAAACGATTTTCGAGACTCTCAAAACGATTATCAAAATGGCAGCAGCGGCGAGCAGCACAAGCGACTGGCCAACAGGGCACTCGACGAGCAAAAGAGCACGGGGTGCGCCCCTAGAACCGCCACAACCAACGCCGGCGAAACCGTCGTAATCGGTGAGAAGAACGTCATGCAAAAAAAAAGAAAGCACCCAGCGGTCTGGCACCACAAACACACCGCTGCGAGACCTCTTATAACCCTAAGCTCACCTCGTTGTTTATTGCTTCCCACGTGAGGTCAGACAGAGTCGCAGACCCGCCAGCTAGCGCCAAACACCACGTGCCACTCAGCAGCATCCCTACGGCCACGGCTCCTTCCAGGACCACGAACCCCAGGAGAGAAAAGCGGTTGCGGAGCCGGGCGCCGGCGGCGCCGAGCAGCGCCAGCAGGAGGAGCAGGGAGCCCAGGCAAACGGCGGTGACCGCACACCACTGGAGGCCGAGCACGGTGGCCCTCGAGAGGCTGAAGGCCCCGGTGACGACGACGGCCACGGCTAGCGAGGCCGACACCGCGTTGGCGAAGCACAGCCAGCGCACCAACTGCGGGGGGGGGGGGGGGNGGGGGGGGGGGGGGGGGGGGGTTCGAGACGAGGGGGAGGGAAACAACAACATGGAGCAACGAGGTGGTAAAAACAAGGTGTGGACGCACACGAAGGTGAAATAAAGAGAAAAAAACAGGATAGCTTGAGGAGAAGCACAGCACGCTACCTCACGACAGCCGCCACTTGAAAATGACTGCGCCTGGACGATTGCCACTTCGCCGGCGGTGGAATCCGACCGCGACGAAAACTAATGCCGCCAAGAAATGGCGACCCAAACAACCTACCACCAAAATTTCGTTCGATCAGCAAGGATGCTCCAACGGTGAAGCGCGCAGCGAGGACCAATCGGTTGCGATTGCCAGTTTGTAACGGTCATGCCCCCCCCCCCCCCCCCCCCCCCCCCCCCCCCCCCCCCCCCCCCCCCCCCCCCCCCCCCCCCCCCC